TCTTCTCAACCATTCCTTTTCTTCCCCTCATCACTGCTTTCTATGGAGCTTCCTTTGATGTGGCTCCTGGCTGTAGAGGAATAAGATACCTGATATGCAAGCCACTCGAGACGAGAGCTGTAGCACTGGTGTCAGACGCTGAGGCATAGACGCGACCTTTTTGTTGGAGTGGTTGGAGGTGTTACCCAAAAACACCTTCAAGTGGCGTTTAATGTCAGTCAAGCAGCCCCAGTAAAGTGGAGTGAAGTAAAGTGAAAACCCTTTGTAGAAAATATCAACATAAATCTACCCAGCTTTGACAGAAAACCTCATCAGTGCTGAATTATTTCATTGTAGACAATCATGCAGAATCAGTGAAGTAGATAATGTAAATGTGTTTTGAGTAGATGACTTAAAAGTATCCCATCCCATCATATCCCATCTGAGAGCACTATTGTGCTCAGCAGTGGAAAAACCCAAATAGAAATGATTTATTTTTTTAAAAAAAGGTAATTTTTGATATGACTCCAGAGAGTAAACAGAGTGATCCAGATCACACACTAAGCAAACTAAGCCAGTGTTTGGCATAGATAAGTGAAGAGTTTGATCTCAATGGTGGCAGCTCTGTGTGACAAGAGTTCCCCTCTGTATTCTTACACCCCTCCCACCCCCCACTCACACTTTACCCAAAATGCTGTTCCCATAGAGCCACACTTCCTGTTTGTGATCCAATCAACAGGGCCATTACAGACTGTGAGGTGCTGTATAATCTATCTTATCTTATCTTATCTAGAACAGAAAAGACTTGTTTCTCTAGATAACATTAACTCACAGTTCCTCTTCTTCTTCTTATAGCTTTAAACCCCGAGTGACCCTTTCATAAGCCATCCAAAGTCCAAGGTACTAAATTCACCCATATACTGAAAAATTGCATTGCTCAGTTAAAGCATTGGGAAACTGCATGTTTGTCTTTGAGGCCCTGTCTGTGCCTCCACAAACAAAGATGCCGAGAATGGGGTAATGACACGTTTATGGCAGAAAAAGGAAAACAGTTACAAAGCAAAAGAAAAAGGTTTCAATTAGCTGCACTGGAGATGTATGCTGAGCTGCGAAAACACTGTATGGTAATTCTACCTTTTATCTCCTTTATTGTGCTGATTAGTGCGGTGGGGGGAGAGTGCTCTATCTAATCTGATCACAGAGCATTGTGTTTGGGGTCATTAACCTATGGGAGGTCCTATGGTTGACAAGTCACCTCCTAGCCCTTCCCCCTTTTACCTTCTTCATGCAACTCGTTCATCCCCGAGTTCCTCTGTGTCTGCAGAAAACACAACAGCAACCACAAAAACAGCCAAAGAAAACAAAAGATGAGAGGAAAAACAGCCGATGGGGCTATTTGCATGCCTTGTCATTCTTTCACAAACACAAGGCCCAGATGACTACTGACCGAGGCCACTGGCTTTGCATGAGCAGCAGGATGTCAGTCTCTTTAGTCTAGCTGCTGTTGGCTCTTTTTTCCACCCCTCTGACCTTCATCCCAGTACCAAGAGATTAAGGGGTTAGGCTAACCTTTGACATGTGGGATCTGCATCAGAAAAGACCAGCATCTTACTGTACGGTAGCAAAACATGCCTGTTGCAAAGCGACGTTTCATGTCACTGGAATCTGCATATGCATACAGATCCCACAAGCTCCATCAGTCAAAGCTTCCTCTTCATAACCGTTTTGGGCAATGCTAATAATCTTTACAATTACATGTATACAAACCAGCACTAATGAAACCTAACGTATGTCTGCTCTAACCGATTCAATAATATTATATTTTAACCCACAAAGTCTCTTTTTTATGTCTGTCACAAATGACATACTCTAACCGAACCAATAGCGCCTCTCATCCACAAATCGTAGGTAAGTCGTTGTGATACTGTGAAAGGCTGCCTGTCAGAATGACAAAGTGCAGATAAAAAAAACCCACAGCAAAGATCGCTGCAGATTGCCTGTAGAGGATGAATATGCAAATAAAGCAAGCGGTAAATGAAAAACAAAGTGGGGGTTTTGGCAGCAGCTTTTTACGTGTTCCCCTTAATTTGGCATCATTTAAGAACACAAAGTCTATCGATACTGAATTCAGGTCAGAGCACAGAAGGAGACATGGGGGAAAAAACCCAAATAAATAAAAATCAGTCTTCCTTTTCCAATGCGAGCCCCTGAGCAGTTTCGAGGACTATTGTACACATAAGCTTTTCTGTGAATGCTAAGCTTAAGTGACAAATAAATGGAAAGTTGAGGGAGTTAAAACAACAACAACAACATAATAATGATATCTATAGCACCGAGCTTACATAGCACCAATCAGACTGGGTCCATGTGTTCTGGAAGACAGTCAGAAAAATAGGACACCTAAGCTTGCCAACTGCAAACCCAATCCATTGACCACAGCATGAGCACAAAAGTAAATCAATTACCTGGTCGAACGCCTGTCGTGAGCGACAAAAACTGTTCTCAGGACAGTCAAATAAAAGAACAAGACCAAGTGCACTTTATCACCTGTTAGTTGCTATCAGACCCCAAAAGGCACTTTAGCTAGCATTCCCAAAAATTAAGAGGCAAAACAAAGTGTGTTTTCTAAACAGAGTGAAACTAGCCAGACAGACTGAAGCACGTCCTTGGGAAACCACAGCACATATCCTCTTGAACAAAAAGATGAACAAGGCAACAGATTTTTCCCCTGGTTCTGAGATAACTGAAACCCAACACCATCACCCTCCAGTGGGACTCTTTGTACATCTAAGAGAAGGTCTATCAACAGCTGCTGACAGATGTGTCTGCAGTCAGTTTAGGAGAGGAAGCCACACTGAGGTCAGGCTCGGGTTTTGCGGCTCTGCCCATCAAGGAGGAAGACACGGATCAGCCCGTGATGTCCGCGACTGACCTTTTCTCACCTCGCAGTCCTCGTCACCACACCTGAACTAATAAAAGATAGCTACTTTTGTTAATAAAGCAGCCAAAAAAAAGAAGAGAGCCTCAGTAGGACCTTCTTTACACAACAGAAATTGCATTTCATACAGATTTGCCTCCAAGTGAACAATATACAGACAGACAGTTTATACTTGTCTAGAGATCCCTTTGTGTTTCAAACAAAAGTGAGAGCCACTCCAGCTGGAAAGCAAACAAATCTGAAAAACACCACTGGAGGTCTAAGTAGTTTTGGCAGATGCTCCAGGCTTAAGTGTCTGTTCAATCAGCCACTCCAGTTAAGATGGCAATCATGGTTTAACTGTGTGCTGATGTGTTGAGGCTGGAGTTGGATCATGTTCTATCCTGGCAAAATAACTGGGCATGAAATGTCAGCAGTGGTCAGACACTTAGTCGTTGTGGTTGTAGCACTCCCTATCCTAACGAGGCCGTAACAATTACTAGGAGTAGAGGTCCTCATTGGCTCATGAACAGACGATGGGAGACCAAATAACAAAAGCAGAGATGGCGTTTTAAACGGTATAATAATTGACTTTTGCTCTTGATTGTATGCTAGGAATCTAAATCCATTAACGGCATTTTTCTAGGCATGCATACTTTGTAATTTTCTGCAACCGGCCTCAGTCTGCACAGTGTCAGTTTAATTCCTTTCAGCTGTTGTAAGAGCGTGCTATTATTGAGCCTCTACGTTACTTTACTGCTTTTCTTTCTCTTTGCCTTTTCTTTAAACTGTCATTAATTATTACAGGGCAACTGCTCTCTCTTATGACAAACAGAATGCATGATAAATTTTATGCTTGATATTTTAGTCTCCTCAGAACAAGCGAATAACACCTCTCTAACAAACCTGTTTGTTTACTGAAAATGGATGCAGACCCTCCAGGCACTCAGAGCTGAATAGTATAATAGGCTTGAGGTAATTAACAAAAAGTGGTATTGGCAAGAGTGAATGACACGCAAGAGAGGAGTCTCCACATTGCACCGACAGCTGTATACATCACGCAGATCTGATTATTGACCCAATGCCACTGACAGGAAGCTGATATTCAGCGGCAGATGAACAGAGCTGCTCCACTGCAGCTCAATGCGCCCGGCTGTGGTGTCTGCCATGTCAGTTCGCCAGAGGGGGAAACACTGGAGATGACGCAGGGCAGGACAGAGTGTTGGTTGGGTCAACTCTTCTGTACAGTCCTTTGACTAACAGGATGAGTCACTGATGCTCGGGGCCCAGAAGGAAGCAAACCAACTGTTTGGCCTCGTTTAACTATGAAACCGAACAGGGTTAAAGAGAAGGCACGAGCGGCAAGAAACAGTTCAGGTATCTCTGAGCAACCGACACCTCATTCATGTATAAACACACAGACACACTCTTACAGATCCTCTATTAGTGCTTAGCCACACAAACAGAGTCAACCACATATTAGGAATTAGCAACACGGCCCTAAATTCTTGTGATGAATTATTCTGGCTCACTGCGACAACATCATCCAATATTCATTACCTGTCAACTTTTTATTTTAAAGATATAATCCTACTCTTGTTGCATGAAGCAGGTCATGCATTTGAAATGCTGGATTTCTTTACTTTAGAAAAGAAGAAAAAGAAACTGAAAAATGATGACATCTGACATCCGACCCACACTGATCATCAACTATCCTGGCACATCTGAAACGAACACCCAATGATAATAACAGCTGCCGATATCTCTTCCTTAAGCAAACCACTGCCGGCAAAGTGCTTAGGGCGTATCTCATTTCCACCAGCATGCACACACATACTGTACATCTCCAGTTTTTTTCCCCACCTCTTTGTCTTTTGATGCCAGCCAGCATCGCTTTCCAACCAGTGACTACTCGCTCATCTTAAGTGCACACATCTAACGAGGATGTGAGTGGCTTTCCCCTTTCCTCCACTCCCTCTAGTGTATCCAAACAACACTGCATCGTGCATCTCCAAAAGAGAGAGAGAGAGGGAGAGAGAGAGGGAGAGAGAGACCCCGCCTCCATATGACATCAGTGCTCTATTGAAGCAAAGCTAGAGGCAAACACAACTCCACATTTGTATTGAGATCTATCCGTGCACCTATGTCCTCGCACAGCCAGCAGATTGTGTATGCGTGTGATGGGGTCACCAGTAAACATAGCAGTGGCGCTTCTGATAAACTCCGAATAGCTCTAGCCTTGTGAGGGAGTGTGGACTTTTTTTTTAATTATATATTTTTTTTTATTTGTATTTTTCGGGATCTGAATTTAAGCGTGGATTGGATTATTATTTTTCACGCTGTGAAGCTAAATATAAGAGGATACCTGTTACTTTCCATTTTTGGTTGATTAAGTTGAGGTAAGTGCGGAGTTGCTTTTTTTTGTTTTGGGTTTTTATTTTTTGATGGTACAGTCCTGTTGGGAATGCATCCTTTTCATCTTTTTTGGATCTTCTTTCTGGCAGAAGGAATTGAAAGTAATGCGGAATCCTCAGGAGTTGCTTGTATCTAATTAGTTGCCCTCTTTCCCTCCTTATTTCTAACACTCGGCTCAGGCGAGAGATACTGCGTTTCTTAGAGGTGATTGTCTCAGGGCGATCTTTATTTAAAAAAATCTCAAGTGCACTTTCTTTTCTTCTAAAATATCCAAATTAGGCACCCATACGCGCGCGCACGCACACACTGAGCGTAGACACTCTTCCCAGGTTGGCAGATAGAAATCAGACAGAAATCATTCTTCTCTTCGTCTCAACCCCCCCTCTTGGTGCCAACAACTTGCTGCTATCGGGTACTGCGTCCCTCTATTTTTTCCAGCGCGTGTCTCTGAGAGCAAACACCCGGTCTGCTTCTCCTGTCTGTTTCTGCCTCAGTGTCGCAGCGCGAGAAGACACCCCGGCGTGCTGCTGGAATTGCAGCGCAGATCCCGCGGATTTAGACACGGAGAGGCAGCTGAAAAAAAACACAAGAAAAAAAACAACTCCACTGAAAGCGTCTGCACAATCACAGTCTAGACGACTTGGATCGGACCCGCTACTATTGATGCAACCTACTAGGGAGTGAAATTTTTAGGCTGCTGTGCAACTGTAAACTCAACCCCAGGTTTGGATGCCCCATCGCCACCCTCCTCTGCTACTAAAATAATAACAATAATAATCATAGGCAGTGAGAGCTTTTCCCTGCTGCACGGGCGTAGTCAAAAAAAAGTAGAAGCCCTTTAAATGCACAAAGTTAAATCCACTTAAGTTTCATCAATTCGCTTATAATCAGCAGCTCACTCAAAGCACATTATGTTACATTAACGAGTATTTAAAAGAAACGTGTGGCATTTCGCTGCAGCTGCAGCTCTCTGCGACTCCGTGACAGCCGTGTTATTAAAGCATCAAGAAATAAAAGCGCCTTTACAGTCAACGATAGCTTCACTCGATCAGTCTGTCACGTTAACGAAAAGCCATGTTCGTCTCTGTGCATGCAAACTGATCACCATCCCAGCAATACAATAAAAGTGGACGCCTTCTTAGCAGCAGCACCAGGACAAGAACAGTGGTTAATCCAATTTAACACAGCTTTTTATCTTCGTGAGACGATAAGGTCATCCAGGCTTTGAACAACATATGTGTATACGTGTATGTGTGTGTAGGCTGGAGCCTAATTTCCGCACATCACCGGCAGTGGATCCAAACTTGACCCGACTTGTCATGCAATGCAAATAGTAGCTCATTGTTTTTCGGTGTGTTTGACAGACAGTAAAAATAAATAGCCTTTAAAACGTGGCAGACTTGTGAGAACAGAGCCAATTGTCTTCACTGATAGCTGCCCGAGGCAAAAGTCCCCAGTCAGTTGTTGTCAGAGGGAATTCGACAACTAACCAGGTCACCATGATTGAAAAAAAATCAAAGCATTAAAAAAAAAGTGAAATTGGTTTGGGGGTGGGGAAAGGGGGAGGGGGGTGTCTTTCATTACCACCAAGGCATATTTCTGATTCACCACCGTGCTCTGAGAAGGCCTAATCCACTTCTTTTCATAATGTATCTATCCACTCGGCAGCATCTTTTATGATCAATCCTAAACTGCAAGAGACACATCATTTCATACTGGTTACTGAAAGTAAAAGCGTAAACAGGGCTTCAAGGCCTAAATGCTGCAGGGGGGGGGAAACTTAGCCATATGACTCAGAACAAGCTGTAGTAGGGCCAGTAGGGAGGCTGAACAAATCCCCCCTATTTTGGGTGGTTGTCTGGCCTGTGCCGAGATAGGCTCCTGGAGCTTAACATGAATATTCTGCGTTTGCTTGTCGCATACAGACACACACACACACAGATTCGCACACATTTTTATCTTGCAGTGCCTACCACCCCCATGTGGAGAAAAACAATTGCCGCTGCTACAGATCTTTCCTTTCAGGCTATTACAAAAGAGGGACCCCCGTCTGTCCCGGGCCTATATATGCTCTTAATGGTCCAGCAAAAGTATCATCTGTTCAGCCCATCTAAAGACAACACCAGGAGGCCACATACCAAATCCGTTAAACGAAGAGATTTCTACCCATTTTCTATTTGGCTGAAACGTGTTCTGTGTCCCTGTGCATTCAGATGTGACCATGAATGTTCTGTTGTGTCTCAGCGGCACACAGTAGGCCGCTGCCAGGTGTCTTGACATACAATCTCCTAAATTGTTAATCAATGCTTCGTGCAAGCGTTCCCACTGACAAAATCTCACCTCTGTTAAAAGCAGGGAAAACTATTCATTTTGCTTTAAAATCAGCTTAAAGGGGTCCGTTTATTTTGATAGAGCCCCAAACAATCTTTGTCCACCTTGACTGTTTCCTTAAGTGCTATCGCTGTGCCAGCTGATGTTGCAGGCACACAGCTTAGAGAGCGAATCTGAGCAAAACATAGCCCACAATGACTGTACTGTGCAATCTATCATAATTCTAAATTATGAATTAGAATGAAAGATCAACAGCAGATACAAACAACAATGATTTCCCAATGGAAGGCTCTACCGTGGTTTCAAAATTAATTTCAGGGCTTATGAATAATTTAGCAGCCAGCCATTACTACTTCTTGAGCTTCACCCCCACCAATGCAGCCCATGTAATATTATTCTGTATTTTACTGAACTAAAAGTCATTATAATCTGCAATACTTTTGACAGGCATGAAATTGTTCCTATATGAATTTTTTTCTACCAAAGCCTTTCTTGTGCAGTGTATGCCTACAGGGCACAGAGTCTTGGGCTCTGTTATTGCAGCTTAATGTGCATTTATGCGTGTTCAGCTCACAATGGCTATCGGTGTCCAGCTTTGTGCGAGCCTCCCACGCTCTTCACTGAAAGGTAACTTGCTGTACACCAACATGCAATTTTACTAGGATGCTCAATTTAACTTTGCCAGTTCGGATTAAATGAAGCAGAATCCACTCTGACTGCTGGAGAAATCCCTTGTCCTGCCAGCGGAGCTTATTAGAACGATGGAGAAAGACATCCATCACTAAAAACGTTGAACCCACCGTTTATTGCTCTCAGAATGATTGTGTGCACGGGAAACAAAGCACTGCGTGCGCGCAACTGCATGCATTTGGCTGGGCGTGCATTTGTAAATGGGAACACAGGAGGTTTGCATAATGCACTGTTTTAAGTTAAGGCATTTCGTAAATTGTCTGAATAAAAGTTCCAAAAACCTTAGACCCCCGCCCCCCTTTGTGAGGCTACACGGTCCACATGCTTGCCTTGTAGCGAACAATGGAGAGGGGGCCACTCTCCTGAAATCTGAAGAGCATGGAAAAAAATTGGGGTTGGGTGGGGGTGGTGGGGGAGACCATCAAGCATCTAGGCCTGACTGTTTTTCTTGTAAAATAAGCATGATGTGCTATGTTCAAAGCACACTTCTGATAAATCACACACATGATATAACAGAGCACACCGAGGCCGACAGATTATTCTACCACATGTTCTTAATGAATACCCACATCTCATCATCTCCTATACTGGACACTGAGCTACATTCTATTATGCTAGGGTTTTTCTGGCTAAAGAAAGGAAATGTTGTGCCATATCATTTTTGTGACAATCACCCTTTCTCAAACCCCAAAAGTCTATTATTTTGCAGTACAGCTCTTCCTTCGGCAGAAACGTAGAGGCACGTTTTTTTCTTTTACCTAATGCCAACATTTCCAGTATTCAAATCAAGACGGCACACATTTAGGGAAAGGAGAACTTTTAGGTGAAAGAGGCTATTTAAAATTGAAATAGCCTGACTAAGTGCTGCACATAAAGTTCATTCCACCAGACAGACAGCACATATTCCTCTATCATCCCACCATTTTCTAAAGAACTCCATTACTAAATGTAATCTTTTTTTTCCCCCTCATCAGACTCCTTTAGTCTACAAGTTAGTAGAGGTCACATCTGGTGCTTTTTTTTCTCTTCCCCAGACTCTAATCTACTACTAATGTAATACTGGACCGAGCACCCGTGTTTAGATGGAACAGAAGGAAGGGGGGCGTTATTATGAGACAGCATCTCAGGAGTTGTAATCGAGTTACAAGCCTCTCAATTCCCTAATCTTCTCCTTGTCATGGGTTACAACTGTTAAATGGCTGGGCCTCTTGTTCCTAATTTACCTTTACATGTTTTACAGCATAGAGGCAGCAAACAGGTCACATGGATGCTTAGGACACAAAGCTATTGTGTTGTAAAAGGGAACCATAACATTTTCCTTGGCAAAGGAAATTCTATTTTTACGAACAGAAGGAGCGTTCACAGAATGTAAAGAGAGGATGGGGTGGAGGTAAGAGGTCACAGAGAGGTGCTGGGATTGACAGGGATGGACGCACCAGACATCCTCTTCTTAGGAAATTCGAACAGCCTTCATTTGTCATGAAAGCTTTTTAACAATGTGAGTAATTCAGCAGGCGCCGACTGGATCGTTTCTTCTTCCACCTCTAATATCTGGACTTTCTAAACCGTTTTTTTTAGTTTAGTTTTTTTTAAATCACAGGATCTGCTCTATTTTTTAAAACACGTACTGAAGTAAGGAAGGAGCTCCACCCGTAGCCATTGTTGAGCTGTGGGGTTTGAATCAGTGCTGGCTTTTTATCCACGGACGTTCTTGTAGCGGGATAGAAAAGAAATGTGGTCTGTTGGAGTGGCTCACTGTAAAAGGTCAACAGGCGTATTTTTAGTATTGCATTAGAGGGTTCTTCTAAATACAAAGTCACAATATAAGGCCGGGCAGAAGCCATGATCAAACATCTCTAAATGCAATTAAATTTTTTTGCAATTTTACAAGGTGAAGTCAATGAAACCTGATCATTTAAAAACTGAATGCATTGCTCTTTGGTTATTTTTCAGAGCATCATCCCAGGTGTGAGGAGTGCACAGCATGACTCAAGCTGCAGATACGTGAGAGAGGCTGTGCCCAGAAGGATAAGCAACTTGCCTTGTTTCTCTCCTTAGTGGAGAGGAGAACACTGGTTATCTGCTTCAGGAAAAAGGACCAGAGCCCTGGATTAATGTGTATACAGGCTCAACAAGGGAGCAGAGGATTCTGGGTTACCTGAAGACTTGGAGTACACAAGTGAACAGGCCTGGATTGAGCCTGTGGCAGAGGGGATTGGCATGGCTCAGACCAGCTTTGTGTGAACTCATCATGCCTGCCGGCCGTGATTGCAGACAGGAGCCTTTGCAAAAGTCCGCCACGTACAACAAACGGATAACAATACAACACCCCAAAAATCTAATTTGCGGTTATGGCTGTTAAGCTTGACAGCTGCAGCAATCGTTAGGATTTTCAATATTACCTGAGAGTACATGCTTTGTCAGTGGCAGGGGATGCTTTTTGTACAGGCTTATCTGCCATGGTAAATTCATTGAAAGCATGAGCCTCTGACCACACAGAGGAGGTCATCGTCCAAACAAGGATCAGCTCAGCAAACACTGACCAGGTCAGGATATCACAAGAAACCCCTTGGACAAACTTTTTCCTTTGAGAAAGGATAAGAGCAAATTCAAGAGGAAATCTTGATTGGATTTTTAGGTGGCTGGAAAGGATTTACCACATCGTATAAATCAGGTATGACAAATACAGAAGGCTTTGCTTCTTTCCACTTCACTCACCAGATCAGCATTTTCTAATTAGATGTACAGGAAGAGAGGTCATGGCAGGAATGCATAATGAAAGAAATAATTCAGTAGTACCTAAAGTAAAGGGCAACGTACACATAGCTGACAAAAAAAGAGACAGATACTTTCTGCTTTTGCCATTTTGTTGATGTCAAGGCTGTTTGTCTCAAGTCCACAACCCTTAAATATAATATATATATTTACTATAATAATGTAACAGTCGCTGTCTTTTTTTTTTTAGCATTTTTAACATGCCATACACACTTACAGCAAAAATCATTAACACACTGCTGTGCAAAATTCTTGTGACTTTAGAAAACCTTATTTGAAAAATAACTTCTTAAATCTAAACTTTTAATATGTTAAACATTTACAATCAAGCCTTATTCAAGAGACTAAGGGCATTGGTATTAATCTGTCAGCATTTAAGGTATGCCAGGTTCACGACAGTTCATTGAGACAGCCTGCCTTTTTTCACCCCTGTGATCTGTGGCAATGAGAGAGAGGCTTCAGATTGAGAAATGTGTAAAGCTTGGGAATGCATTACATTTCAGAAGTCGTGGGGAAAAAGTCGATGCACTCAGTTTTAATTCACAGAGGTGCAAAGGTGCAACATTTTTTATTTAAGACAAAGCATCATTTAACTATTTGGAATGCAGGGTAGTAAAGATGTAAAGTTACACAAAGATTAGAATATTTATGTAATGAGTATATTGTGAAACAAAAGATACATTTTCCCTGTGTGATAATCCTGATAAACAAATCATATAAATTAAAAATTAGGGATACAAATGATTCTTTCAGCACATATTTAATTGAGCCAGTGCTGCAGGCAGCTTTTCAAACACCCAGCAATTCTGAAAACAGGAATTTGGCTGCGCTTTCAAGGCATTGTGCATTAAATGTACACTTGTGTATTCTCCCCAGGGGCTCTTGAGTGATTAGACTGCCAGGCAACACACCCTCAAGATGGTGCGTCAGTGCAAGTCCTTCGTCCTCTTCCTCATCAGGATCGGGCTGCTGCTGGGTCTTGCTAACCCCTTGGTGACCTCTGCCTCATGTCCCTTAAGTTGCCGCTGCGATGGGACCTTTATCTACTGTAATGACCGTGGCCTGACTTCCATCCCTACTGGTATACCCCAGGACGCTACAGTGCTGTTTCTGCAAAACAATCGCATTAAGAGTTCGGGCATTCCCTCAGAGCTTCGAAGGCTCATAAAGGTGGAGAAGATCTACCTGTACGGCAATAATCTGGATGAGTTTCCTACTAACCTTCCCCTTGGGCTAAAAGAGCTCCACCTTCAGGAGAACAACATTCGGATGATTACCCATGCCTCTTTAGCTCAAATTCCCTACATCGAAGAACTGCACCTGGATGATAACTCTGTATCAGCAGTCAGCATAGAGGAGGGGGCCTTCAGGGACAGTAATCATCTCCGGCTGCTTTTTCTTTCCAGAAACCACCTTAGCACCATCCCTTCAGGCCTGCCTATGAGCATTGAGGAGCTACGCTTTGACGACAACCGCATCTCCACCATCTCAGAGCAATCGCTGCAAGATCTCATCAACCTGAAGCGACTAATCCTGGATGGTAACCTGCTCAACAACCGTGGGATTGGTGAGATGGCTTTCATCAACCTGATCAACTTGACTGAGCTTTCGCTGGTGAGGAATTCCCTCACTATGCCGCCAGCCAATCTGCCAGGCACCTGTTTGGAGAAGCTGCAGCTACAAGAAAATCATATTAATCGGGTTCCACCTGGGGCTTTTGCCTTCCTTAGACAGCTGTATCGCCTGGACCTTTCTCTTAACAACCTGAGCAGCCTCCCACAGGGCGTATTTGAAGATCTGGACAATCTCACACAGCTCCTGCTGCGCAACAACCCCTGGCAATGCACCTGCAAGATGAAATGGGTGCGTGACTGGTTGCGGTCATTGCCATCTAAGGTGAACGTACGGGGTTTCATGTGCCAGGGTCCTGATAAGGTCAAAGGGATGGCAATTAAAGACCTAACTACAGATATGTTTGACTGCACAGATTCAGAGCTCTTCTCCACATACGAGACGAGCACAGTCTCCAACACTCTACGCCCATCACAGCCCCAGTGGCCTGTGTTTGTGACTAGGAGGCCTATAATAAAAGGGCCTGACATCAGTAAAAATTACCACAGCACTACCACCTCTTCAGGCAGAAAGATCATCACCATCAGTGTGAAGTCAAGTGGTGCAGATACCATACACATATCATGGAGGGTGTCGCAACCCATGACTGCCCTGCGGCTCAGCTGGCTAAAGCTGGGGCACAGCCCTGCCTTTGGCTCTATTACTGAAACCATCGTGCAGGGGGAGAGAACAGAGTATCTGCTCACGGCGCTGGAGCCAGAGTCTTCCTATAGAATATGCATGGTTCCCATGGAGACCAGCAACAGTTACCTGTCTGACGAGACCCCCGTTTGCATCGAGACAGAGACTGGCTCTCACAAGTCATACCACCCGACTACAACTTTAAACAGAGAACAGGAGAAGGAGCCTTACAAAAATTCCAGTCTGCCTTTGGCTGCTATCATTGGAGGGGCTGTGGCTCTTTTGGCAATAATCATGTTGGCGCTGGTGTGTTGGTATGTCCATAGGAATGGTTCACTTTTTTCCAGGAACTGCACCTATAACAAAGGCCGTCGGAGAAAGGATGACTATGCTGAGGCTGGCACTAAAAAGGACAACTCCATCCTAGAAATACGAGAAACTTCTTTTCAGATGATACCTATAAATCACCTGCCTGTGTCCAAGGAGGAATTTGTGATACACACAATTTTCCCACCTAATGGCCTGAGTTTATACAAAAGTCCACATAATGACAACAGTATTAACAACAGGAGCTACAGAGACAGTGGAATACCAGATTCAGACCATTCCCATTCATGATATTGCATACGGACATTCATGAGGTGTGCTTGACTCAAACAGAGTGGCAAGACTTTTACAAAACACTGGATCTATAAGACTAAGGAAGCAATGTTCTGTACATTTGCCATATAATTTATATTTAAGGACATTTTATGGAGATGGAGAACGTTCCAGTTGCGGGCCATCACTGAACCATCAGTGGGTATGGTAACCAACTGCAATTCTATATTTTAGGGATTTGTAGTAATTTGTACTGTATTTCCTTTGCTTAAGGTTATCGACCAACAAAAGAAACTCTGTGTTCTACTAAGATATGATGACTTGTCAACTGTGAAAGTGGGTTTTCATTGCTGTGTTGAACAATCAGACTTTAGAAAACCTTGTAGTATAAGCACAGGTCATTCTTTTAACTTTGTGGCTGTCAGAAAAACAAAAAGGCAAAAAAATGACATGACGTAAACTAAGGCACAGCTGATCAACTAATATACAAAGCAGGCATGTTGCCATCTAAAACAATGAGCAGTCAGTAGCTGTCTCCATTTATTATGGACCAAGAATCTTACTCCAGTATTCACCAGGTGTGGAGTACGGAAACTAAAGATGAGGTGTCATGCTTTTTTTTTCTCTTTGTTCGGTGTGTTATTTTGTTCTGTTTGCAGGAAGAAGAAATACAGCAAAGCAACCCAAGCAGGGTTAAAATGTCTCTGATAGGATTGTAGGCCACAGCACAGGGCAGATAAAGCACACTGACCTAAAGGAGCCCTCTGCTCCTCGAAACAAGTAGACAGGACAGGCCGACACAGAGGACCCCCACTATCTCTATTTGTACAAGCCAACAATGGCTAAATGACAATGGCGGCATTCTTCAGTACCGTGTACCATACGTCATTGTAGTCATCAGGCCAAAAACACAAAACATGCTGGCTTTTATTAGAATTACACCGTGTCAGCAGCTCTTTCTTGTTATGAGTATTATTTTGTAGTATTTTTTTCTTTCAAATGAACACACTTATGTTGCCACAATTTGAAGTCAACTGTTATTTACAATTGAAAACCAAAGTGCATTGTATGCCCTTTGGCCAGTCTTGTATGTGCCTTGATCCAATGCTTATTGTATTTAGCTTTTTAAGAAACCAGTGACTTTTTTTCATACACACTTGAATATGAAAAATATTGGTCATATTACAGAATAAAAGTGAAAAAAATATCATTGCTCCTCCTTACCTACTTCTTAAGTACAACAAACACCATTTAAGAATAATATTTCTTTTATTCTGTTTAATTATTACCATCGCACAAGGTGTTGATGAAATTTCTGATTTATTTTTTGCACTCAAGAGAGCTCAATCTAAGTGCAGTTAGGTAACAAAGAAGGCTACGCGGGACCTGTTTTATTGATTTATGTCTCAAATTACAGAGTAGGCACAAAATCTGAAAAATGCTTTATGGATGAAAAACATGCTGTATTTTTTATCTTTCATCAAGATCACTACTCTGAGGCTCTCGCTCACAGCCGCATCTCCCCTTCAGAGACATGCTGAGCCCTTAAACAGAAACTCGGATAGTATTCTTGAAATCACTTTTCCACTCCACGGGCAGTGTACAGAGCAACATCTGCTTGAGGCTGCTGTTGTTCTTTCGTGCAGTTAAGTCATGTGTGACTTATTCGATTGGCCAGAAAGAGAAATATCGCAGTGGAGTAGAAATTGGGCTACGCAGACGCTGGACTGTAGGGTTAGATGAACCTCCCTGGCACCAGGGCAACTGAAAACTAATAACAAGCCACCATATGGAGGGTGGTACAAGCAGACCTGTATCTGCAGAGGACACAGCAGAAATATATATACACAGCTCGGTGCTCAGCACAATTAATGATATAGCTGCAGCTCCTCCCATGAAAAACTATGCATGCAAAAGCAATAAAATCACACGTAAGCCCACTATTAAAATACAACATATTATCTAGATTATACTAGTTTTAAAGTATTTAGTTCAAATAAAAAAATGTACACACCCACAAGCTCTTAACACTGTGAAAGCTTTAATTACAGCTAAGGAAGCCACTAAAAGCTGCAGAAGTGATCTAAACCTTAAGTATACGGTAAGCCTGCCCCGTATGCTAAAAATATGACATTAACTGCAAATTAAAATAAACACACGGTTCAATTTTAGTACACTGAATAGTCACAGCTGTCATGCGTCTGCCGTCAATAGTTTTTTTTGTTCTTTGATCAGTCGCAGTTTTGTCACATTTGAATTAGGAATTTGAGGGTAAGACAGCTAAAACATTAAAAAATAATGTGCCTCCATCTGCCTTTAAAGCAACCAAGAATACGTTTTCTTATTTCTCTTATCGAGCACGACTCAAAATATTTAAGCAAGGATCTCGACTAGCTTCACAGCCATCAGCTTCTCACTGATAACTCGGGTGGCTCAAAAACTTTTTGAGAAATGGAAAATCACTCGTGCTTGAGCAGAGTGTCCAAATGTGGAGCACTTGCAAGAACCTCTCAAAACACTTCAGGTGTTATTTTTGAGCCGCTAAGACTATGAGCGCAGTGCATCGCAGTGCAAATCCTTAACTGATGCTCTTGGATTAAATAAATTAAATTAGTTTGTAGTGACTGAAGTGAGATGATCGCTTTGAAGCTGCAGGCCACTCTCACAAATTCACGCAGCTATGTGATAAATTACAGTTTATCTAAAAGGGGGATTGGGGGGGGGTTTCAGGCTATTGTTGTGGCTTTCACTGCAAATAATACATAACAGAGCTGCTTTGTGCATTTCGGCTGATCCAAGTATGAGACAAAATTGATGAACCAGACTGCTGACAACCCCGTGTGACCTCACTTATCACTCATGACCCCTGACTGATCTCTGCCTTTAAACAATTCCTTAATCACACTCAAGTGCTCGCTGAGGTCAGAGAACTCTCTGCTAAACAACACAAGGTGCCCCATACATTTGTCTCCTGTGTGACACACCCAAAGCTTAATTATGTTTGTCTTTTATGTAACCCAGCGATTAAAACTAATGGGGGCAGCTGCACTGTCTGCCCTAGGCTGCTGTTATTCCTATTGTAATGTACTGGTCAGGCAGCCGGTCACATTTGCATTCCTATAGATGCTCCCATCAAACCACCCCTGGATGACCTCACCGTTGCCTGTAGCTGTTTTTTCTCCATCGTCGCCATTATTAGGATCAAAAAAAGTACAGGCCGTGTAACCTTATGACTGATTAGAGGTCAGTGAGGTCAGGTCAGGCGCAGTTCAAAGATCTCGAGAGATGAAAAATCCAATATGTGTCAGTGTCCGCAAAACACAGCCAATCACGAGGAAGTGCGACAGGCAACCTGTCCACAGACATCCTGCTCAGGAAAGACACTCTGGAACTGATTACAGGACGTTTTTAGCAGGGATCCTAGAAATTATGGAAAAATATACTAAGGAAATAGATCAGATCTTTATCTAATGGCTTAAAAAAAGTTTTTTTTCTGAGATGCTTTATCATCTTGATAAGGCATGCTAGGCTGGGGCACCTTAATTAACTACAAAATGGGAGTAATTGATTGAATACAGGCAACATAAACCAACAGAAACCTGAATGTAATGAAATGATAAAAAATTAATATTCAGCCCAGGACTAAAAACCCTTTTGCATGTAAAGCACAGAAAAAGTAAAACTTGCGAAAAATAAAAAGGGGTGCTTGTGGTACCCCGTCCCTTGCTTCCTGTTCGATACACTTTGCACATCATACAGATCCATAATTTAATGGTTTCCTAATAGCGAGCTATGCTGAAACCAAACCAAGGCCTCAGGGTCTCCCCATAAATTTGAACTTGTGCCAGTGTGTAAAATTAGCATGTGCTATGTTTGCTCATTTGGTATGTGGATTAGAAGAACATGGAAAAAGGGAATATCAAGGACTTGCTTTTTAAATGTTATCCACGTGTACGATTCATACGCATAAATCAAATTTAGCTCTTACATCGTTCAAATGTTCCCCTTTTCCCAGCAATTGTAAAACTTTTTTCCATCATTTTCATTCCTGTGCACTCTCCAATGAACAAAACAAGGCCACAGTCTTAAAAGGGTTCAGTATGTTTTTTAAATTTTTCGAGCCATCTTCATCGCTCATTCATGATTGCATTTGTAAGCGAGAGGCTCACGTGAAGGCTTGCATGTGTGAGCACGTTCTTGTCTATATATGTTATTATGAATATTTTAGTAGTTTCTGTAGCGTTGCTTGTGCGCTCATGTGAACCAGTGCGCACTGTTCACACATGTAATTAAAACAGACTAACATGCAGGCAAAGCTAACCTAAAGTCATCAGCACCCTTCCTCGCGGCTCTCCCCGAGACTCTCACGTGACTGTGACGCTCTCAGTAACACACACGCACGCGCACAGACACACAATCTGGTCCAGCAGTAAAAGTGTCTGTGGTGTGAGATGTGTCAGTGTGAGTGATGCGGGGGTGTTGTCCTCTCCCCTCTGTCTCTGACCAGCTTCCCCCAGCCTTCAGGCCGGAACCCTCTCCATCTCTTCACATTACTCAGTGACCTGAAACCACAAGGCCAAAAAACTTAACCAGCTCCTCCGTCTTCTTAATGAATCCAATTTTTTGCCTGAGAGCACAAGGCGTGCACATATATCCATCGTAACTCTAAATTATCTGACATTAATACAAATTAACAAGAAGCACTGCCATCAAGATTGCGCCACCCCACAATAGCAGACAATGACACTGCTTTTATATCACTGTTTGAAGACGGCAACTTATTGTACAGCCAAAAATACAAAGTCAATAAACTCATTTAAAACAGGCTATAACCAAAACAAAAGCAGAGGGGCTGATTGGTGTTGATGCCATTACACTATAAATTATACACAATATGTTATGAAAATATCCATATAATTGACTCAGCTCTATGGCAGCCATTAATTCCTGTCCTCCATTAAGTGGTTTAAATGATCTTGTAAGTAGCCATACATCTCCTGCTGCCCTTTATGAGATCAACACCACGTCTCCCTTAGAACTTAATCGACCCTCGGTCTCATTTGTCCACAAAGTCTGATGCAGGGGAATAATTATTTCATTCTGAAAGGTTCTGAGAGTCCAGCTTGTCCATTTCACCCAGCAGGTCTGCAGCTCTGCAGTGGGAGGCAAAAGTTCCTCTTCGATTCATTCCCGTCTCTCATTCATGTTAAGCCAGCTTTGAATGTCAGTACAGTATTTGCATGCCAATGTGGCTCTGTCTGCAGCTCATTATTTTCAGATGTTGACAGCCTAATCGCATGCAAGTTTAGCCCACTTTACGAACCTAATGCTCGCTACAGCCAAGTCATACTGAATAGCAGGGCCAAGTTTGCATCTGCAGTGTTCGTCTGCAGCTGTCTTATTCACTTTGGCTTTCAGGAAGGGGAACGCAAGAAAGGCAGCGAACAAAAATAATGAGCTCATCCGCAGTGACAGGAAACATTTCAATGCTGACCATCAAACAGCGCTGCCTCCACCACATCTATTTAACATGGATGTAACAAGAAGGCCGACACATATCTATCTCATGCTTGCAGGCTTCAGTTCTCCCACACGTGTGCCCGAATTTGTTCTATTAAGATGACCTTCAGGCGAGAACTCAGTCCATCTCTCCAGAGAGGTCTAGCTTGCCCCGCATTCACCGAGACAGCAGCCCCTTCACACCTCAATGACAGCCAGCGCGCACAAATTTGCTAAAGGGTACCAGTGTTTTGGTATTTCTCCAAGAGGCGGGGAATTCAGCAGTGTCAGCACCTTTTAGGATTGTAAATACAGCTTGTCACAATTCATAGGGGGACCAGGAAGACAACACAGACACTTCAAGGTATCATTTCTTTACAGTCCTCGAGCAGAACAGCATGACTCACTGCGGCGCAGCAGTGGGCCAACATCCCTGACCTCGTGTAGGCCAAACACCACAAAGGGTTATTAACTTTACATGTGGACTTGGTCTCCTAGGGTTCAGAAAGTGTACAAACTTTCAGAGGCAGAATCGGTGGAGTTGACACTGAAGGGTTTAAGCATGAATGCAGCTAGCAGGCTATCTTCTACTTTCAGAAGTGTGGAAAAGTGACAGCGCTGTCATTCTGTAACTACACGAGTTGTGCACAGAACGCTGCAGTGGGCTGACAGACTGAAGTTAGAGAAA